GCAGCTTTCAGATCAAGAAAAACAACCATTGTTGGTTGCTGGAAGCAGTGTCGCTGTTCCAGAATCTGTCGGAGGGTGAAGATATGGTCGATGCAACCTCTTGCAGGACGGAACCCAGCTTGGTTTTCACGGATCTGCCTCTCCCTGTGTTCAGTCAACCTTCGAAGGATAAGACCAGAGAGCAACTTCGATGCCACAGCTAACAGGCTGATGCCACGGTGGTTTTCGCATAGCGTCCGTGTACCCTTTTTGAAGATAGGGATCACTGTCGACATGGCAATGAGGCGTCAGTGCCAACACTGATGTTGCTATCTCTGATGATGTGATATCGTTTGCTTCGTCATTACTGGAACTGTTCTATGGGTGTCTGCTCCGTCGTAAGCGACCAAGTGGCACACATTCATGACTCCATGCGCCTTAAAAACAGGTATCATACCGGTTCTCCTTTGTCTACGTAATATCTTTGCGACTGACGCTGCGACGATTCAATTCTTTCACGGATTTGCCACACTGATTGCCTATGACGACGCATTATCTTACTCGAGTGTGGTGAAGAGCTTAGAAGAATGGAAAAATAACAAAAACTGACTAAATCACGTGGTCTCTGTGGCGAAATAAGGTCAGTTTGGATGAGGAGAAACGGGTGATAGTGTGAGAGTTGATATAGTAGGTAAATCCTTTGCACAAACATATGAAGGTGAAAGGTGAGAGCACCTTTATAACATTTCTTGTGCTGAAAAAGATGTCCTCGATTTTTACAATCCAAGTTCTGAGGTGATCAACAAAAGAGTTGAACGCCACAACCGAAACCGTTTCCAGCCGCTGGAGTGATAATTATTCTTAAATCCCAGTGATAAATATAATCAATGGTCTCGGACGTGGGAGCTCGAGAAAGTTCACTCGTTAAGATGCGAGCTTACAGACCAGCATCCCAGCTGCTCGTTTCAAGTCACTGGAAACCTTTAATTATCTCAGATCTGAGTGGCATGGTAGCTATGCATCGAAAGGGTGCTAGGGCTAGCTGAGTAAATAAGTAGGATTCTCATTTATTGCTTTCTTAGCTGAAATTCAGTGCTATGGAACATTCGATTCCAGCATCAAGAGCTCTCCTACCCGCGCGTCCAGGAAAAATTCCTTCATCTCAAAATAAGAGGTCAAATACCTACCTGCAAAGGGTATAAGGTCTTCTTGGGACCACAGGTCGGAACTTGAGAACTAGTTGGCACACTGTTAGAACATGGACTGGTGGTGGGCGGCGAACTGTGAGAATTGTCTACGAAATCCTTTGCGCATGACAAGCTCCGAATACTGCTACTGTCTGTCTCCGAACAAGTGGATGTCGAAATCAACGAGGGAGAATCATATGAACGCGGTATGGATGCGTGGAGAGCTCGCCAACAATCTCCGGTATCAGTAAGGTTTGAAGAATGATTATCTTGGTACGTTACGACTTCCATTGGGGTAGAAAACTCGTAAGGCGACATTTTCCAAGCTGCTAGGGAGACCGGACGTGTACTGACCGGAGGGATCCAAAGCGAACGGTAACTGCTGAGTGAGGACGAAGGGTGGTAGTTTTGAAATGAAAAGGTATCTGAAACAACGTGGGGGGTAACGTGTTAAGAAGTGGCATACAGACCCATAGTGATTCGAAGTTCACCTCCGTGTGACCCGCAAAAAGCAGTTCAGCAGTGCGGACAGCTGAAAATCAAATCACGAGAACAGACCATTAGAAACAAACGTGCTCGAACCACAAGTCCCAGATATTGTGAACTAAAAACGGAGTTGAAACTTATGTTAATTCTCGGCTTGGTTTTACGTCCTCTATGGTATGTCAAAAAGCACGAGATGAAGGGAAATTACTCCGTATTTGTAGGGCTAACACGGAGTAGGGTATACCAATCACATCAGTCAGGCGTGAACACGTTTGCCCGTTTAGAGGTGAAAATTCAGATGCGTTCAACGTACGCTAGTGGAGTATTGGTAACACGCACGGTAATTGCATGTGCCGATAACCTCTGTTAAGAGCGAAACTCCAGTCCAGTGCTTCTGTCCTTTGGTATGGACTAACCAGAAGAATTATACCGGGACAGGGGGACGAATGTTCAAACGAGAGTGATTTGAATGCGAACGGTGCAGTATACGGTGTCTGTCAGTTTGATTGATTTGTGTAAGTATTGGTGATGTACAACCTTGCTTATCGGACTTCGGTTCATGAGCTTTCTTTCTGTTTTCCATTGACATAAATTGTCGTGAAGACTTTTCTTGGGAGAATTACTGTCCTCTGACGTTTCCATAGCGTACAAACTAATACTGAGGCCCCATGAGATGACGATAGGATCGGCGTTACGAGCACCGAGCTAAATCCCCAGTTCCGGAGGCTCGCGTTCCGACCAATCAGTGCACTGCTACGCACGGTCCTTAGCCGGATCTCAACCTAGCTGTGTCATGAATATTCCTTGTGCTCACATTGTCGTTTTGTATCAACCATGCTTTCGCCTTCACTTTCAGCTTATGTACGTCTATTCTTAGACAAGTAAAGCGCTATTCATTCTATGCTATTCATTCTTGTTCCCGCGCTCAATCAGAATCGATATTCTGTTCGTAACAATTTACTTGCCTAAGAATACGATGGAACCGTTGCTGCGACCCAAGTGCTTCGACGCAGATCCTAATTCTCCGGACGCAACAACGCGTTGGAATCATTGGCTCCGAACCTTCCAAACGTTTCTGGGCACTGTCGAATCGCCCAATCTAAATAAACTCGAAACGCTGATCCATTTTGTGGATGCACCTGTATACGTTTATATCACTGACTGTCCAGATTACGAATCAGCTATCAGTACACTTGAAAAGTTGTACGTTCGTCCTAAGAATATAATTTATGCTCGCTATCTGATACAAACTTGCAAACAAGACACCAGTCAAGATGTTGATCTGTTTGTTCAGAGGCTTAAATCCTTGGCCAAAAATTGGGATTTCAAGGCGGTGTCCGCCATTGACCATCAAAACGAAAGTGTACGCGATGCTCTAATCAACGGACTTCAGTCTACTACCATCAGAGAACGACTTCTAGCTCAAAACGAACTCACTCTCGATGAAGCTCATGAATTGGCCAGGTCATTAGAATTGGCCCACAAACAAGCTCAGTCATACTCATATAACCAGGCGATATCATTTTCTGCAGCTGCAGCACCATTACAGACATCTACAGTTACACCTTCCACACTCAATCTCCCCTGATTCTGCACCCTATCTCTCGTCAATCACTTCTCATATATGTTGCTTTTGCGGTCGTTCCAGACATCCACGGTCAAAATGCCCCGCAAGAGAAGCAGTTTGTAAATCATGCGGCAAAACAGGCCATTTTCAGCGTGCTTGTCGATCCAGATCTGTAAAACTGCACGACGGATTCTGCCTTATCTTCCTTGGTGACTGCTGCGGCTCCAAACTGCTTGTCTCGCAAGGCGACCAGCATAAAGGTGAACGGGATATCGCTTCAGGCCCTCATAGACACAGGAAGTTCGAGCAGCTATATATCTCCTTTGGTGATTGGTAAACATGGCTGGAAGATATATGCTAACAATTCTGTGATTACCATGGCATCTACCTCTCTGACGTGTTCAACTAGAGGCTACTGCTACGCATCCATCGATTACAGGGGTACCGTTTACAAGAAAATCAATCTATTGGTATTGCCCAATCTATGTGCTGACCTGCTGCTAGGCCATGACTTCCTTGGTCTACATAACAAAGTTGAAATCACATTCGGTGGGGACCGAGGTCCATTCACCTTCTGCGGTATACCCGCTGCTACGGTCGAGTCACCTCCTCCTATTGCTAACCTCTCACCCGACTGCAAGCCTATCGCTACAAAATCGCGACGTTATAATCCTGACGACGAACAATTTATCCGCTCTGAAGTTAATCGACTATTGGATGAAGGTATAATCGAACCTTCGAGTTCTACATGGAGGGCTCGAGTACTGGTCACGAAAAATTCAAACCACAAAAGACGCATGGTAGTGGACTACAGTCAAACCATTAATCGGTTCACATACCTAGACGCGTATCCGTTACCGCGACTGGATAAAATGATCGAAAAAATTTCCCGTCATACTGTCTTTAGCACCTTAGACCTATTGAGTGCTTACCATCAAGTTCCAATCAGTGAGCAAGATAAACCGTATACGGCTTTTGAAGCATGCGGAGAGCTGTTTCAGTTCCGTCGTATTCCTTTCGGTGTAACCAACGGAGTAGCATGCTTTCAACGTACTATTGACCATATAATCAAGTCTGAGATCCTAAGTGGCACATACGCTTACATCGATAACCTCACTCTCTGTGGGACTGCCCAAAGTGAGCATGACCAGAACCTCAAATCTTTCTTTGAAGTAATAAGAAAATATGGAATTACCCTTAACTGTAAGAAAAGCATCATAGCAGCCAAACAAATACGCCTTCTGGGCTACGAAGTCTCTAAAGGAATTATCAAACCAGATCCTGAACGAATGAAACCTATTCGTGAACTCCCTCATCCACATGACGCTAAATCCCAACGAGTTGTTGGTATGTTTGCTTATTATTCGCAATGGATACCATGCTTCTCTGACAAAATCAGTGTGCTTGTCAGAAATAAGACTTTCCCCTTACCGGAGCGTGTGCAACAGTCTTTCGAAAATTTAAAGGAGTTAGAGAACGCCATGGTTGTGACAGTCGACTACAACGCACCATTGGTTGTCAAGACTGACGCCTCAGACGTAACCATTGCTGCATCGCTGACTCAGAACGGCCAAACGGTGGCCTTCTTTTCTAGAACACTGACACCGAGCGAAAAGAATCACTCTGCTATTGAGAAAGAGGCATACGCCATCGTTGAATCTATCCGTAAATGGAAGCATTATCTCTTCGGGAAGCACTTCAAGCTTATCACTGACCAGCGGTCAG